TAGTTCAGATATTTTACTAAATAGAATAAATTGTTAACTGAATAAACTAAATAGTCATAATTATCATAAAAAAATTAATATATTTTAATATACTTGTGATTGTAATATTGCTTTTTGTAATAACATACAAAAGGTCTCATTAACTTCATGACATAAAATATCTGCAGATTTGTCTCCTAAAGCTGCTTGTGCAGAATTAACTCTTCCAAGTTGTAATAATAAACCTGTAGTATCTTCAGCTAATGGTGGAAAAGCTAAACATATACGTGTTAATGCTGGTAATACAGGCATAAATAAAATCACTCTGTCTTTAGCAGATAATACTCCTAAAAGTGTTATCAAAGTATTAATAGCTAAACGAGAAACACTTAAAGCCTTTGGTAAAGCATACTGAATTGCAAGATATGAAGCTAAATCCACAGCAAAAATTTGCTTTTCTGGTTCTGGTTGTGACAATAATTCAGGAATCCAATCAAGACAAATATGCATAGAAGGAATACCAGTAACTGTAATAGGTAACAATTCTCTTGGATAACCCTATAAATATTATAATGATATATTATACTAAATTTTATTTTATATAATAATGACATATTAACAATTAATATTAATATATTTTATTATTAATGAGCAAAAATAAAAATAAATTATACACATACTTGAAAATGAACTAATTTAGCCAATGATGGATCTGCTATAAATACTTGATGTAAATATGAACAGATTATACTTTGTATTTCTCTTAATGACCACATTTGTCCAGGAGTTTCTCTATCTTCTTCTGTTTCTAAACATGCCTCTAATAATATTTGAACAGCTGCACTTTCTTGACCTGCTACTAATGCTGTTCTTAAATCTTCTCTTTCAGCTTCATTTGATAATTGACCAATTTTTTCTGTTAATGGTTTGTCTTGTATATGTCTAGATAATTGAGACCGAGAGGCTGCTAATGCGGCTTGTAATATTCTAAAAATATTTATTATGAAATAATGATATTAACTAAATATTAAATGTTTAAAAACTCGTTTTTCAATTTTCAATTTTTTTTTTTTTTTTTTTTACCTTAAAATAACAGATAAAATTGGAGCACATCTAAAAACTCTTGTATCACATCTCAATACTTGTAAAGGATCTAGTACAATATTTTCTTGTGTTAAAAAAACATTTTTTACAAGAGAATTTTCTATCAATAAAGCATTTATTGATAAAACCCATAAACATCTTGGTAGAACTGTATTTAGCCTAAGCCATATTTGTTTATATAATTCTGAAATAATTAAATTAATTTATTATTACAAATATATTTAATAATGTATTATAATATTTATATATACATATATAAAAAATATTAATAATATTAATAATACTAATATAATATTTTATTATTAATTATAAATTGAATATTATATTTTTATTTTATATATATATTTATAAATATAAACAATATTAAAGAGAGAAAATCTACTATAAATTGTATATTGTGCATTAGTAAAATAAATTAATAATATTCTATTAATTAAAATGATATATATTAAATATTTGATTTTTGAAAAAAGAAGAATTACTTTCAAAGCATTAATATAGTAATTTTCATATTTCATTTAAAGAAATAAATTATTACCTTGAATATACCTAGGAACTCTTGGACTTAAGGTTGCTTTAAAGTAATGAATTAGAACTTCAGCATGAGGCCAAATATCAGTTGGTTTCATTAACATTAATTGTCTCAGAAGTCTTCCTGTTCTTGAAGGACATGTTTGAATATGAGAAAATGTTTCTATAATCATGATATCAGTAATTTTTACATCTTCATAATTTGTTACTGTAGAATCAATGTTAATCATTTCATTATCAAGCCAATCATCTACTAATGAGAGATGAGGAAAATGTGTAGCTAGTAGTCTAAGAAGAGGAGAAAATAAACCAGCATAATTCATTTGATCTCTTTGAACCAGTTGAAGTAAATATTTTATTGGTAATTCAGATAAAAATTCAGTTGAATATGATTTAACTTTTCTATCTTGTGATATAAAAGTATGCATATTAGATAATCTGACATCTTCATACAGCAATAAATAATATAATAATAATAGTTGTGATGTAAGAGAAGGTTTTGAAATATCAATATCCATACCATCTGTTTCAGTTTGAGGAAGATTGTTAATATTCTTCTTAAAATCAAAATTTGCACCAAAAATACTATTTTGAAATACTCTTCTAATTTCATCTTCAGTAATTGGTTTGTTTGTATGTTCTGATGTTTTATTATTTGTTACTAATATTGAATTAACATACACTTCAACTAAAGCAGGAAGAACTGGATGCAATGGTGGCACACTATTACAAATTTGTTTATAAATCCAATTTTTTATGGGTACTCGATGTTTAGCAAATGCTCTTGACTTCAATAATTGGTGAATACAATGAACAGGTAAAAATCCTGGAATGTTAGCATTTAAATTGGCTGTTACTGGTACTTTTACAGCATGAGAAGTGACAACTTGTTCAGTAAATATTTCTTGCATAAAAATTTGCTTCATTCTAGTTAAATTATTTGGTCTAATTGGTATTTTCATACCTAAAGTTGCACATACAAGTTCACAAATAGCTGATAATTGATTGCTATGAAAATGTATTGCCATTAAAAGTAGCATTTCTCCAAAACTTGCTGTTACACCACTAGCACTTTCAAAATAAGCTTCTTCTCGTACAAGCCATTGCACCCATTCTATGCTTCGTTTTTCAAGATTATGATGACCTATTAAGGAAGAACATGCAATAAGCATACAAAGACCTAAAGAGACAAATCTCACACCAGCTGGTGATGGAGGAGGATGAGATGTCAGTAATTGTACTATCATTGCTACTTCATCATCTTGAAATTTAATACCACCAATGCCTCTTAATGCACAATAAAGACGTAATAATGCACTAGCTTGAACAACTTGACTTTCTTGTAATTGACCTGCATTTTGAGAAGTCATTGCTTGTAATCGCTTAAGTAATTCTTCTCTTAAAGACTGTAATGCTGTATGAGATTCCCATTTACGTTTTTGACCATTTCTAATAAACATTGCAATCCATGTTCTTACTTGTTGATCACTACCAAGTAATAATCCTGATACAAAAGCAACTATATCACTTTCTGATAATGTATTATTTATATTTTCATGTTCCAAACTTAATGTTATTGCTAAAGCAGGCATTCTACAAAGTTCTACACATTTAGCTCTTACTGCTAATGCTTGACTTGGATTCATTTGACACAGCATTGTCAAAGCCATTGTTCTAATTCTGCCTAATGCCGATTCTTCTTGTCTTTCTCCATTAGCTATTAAATGTGCACAAACTTCAGAAAAACTATCAGGAATATTAGCAACTATCCAACAAATTATTTCTGGACCATATTTAACATGTAATAACGTTTCTGTTATATCCAATATTGATAATACTGTTGGTAATTCTGATAAAGCAACACAAATCACATAACTAATCTCTTCCATATATACTGCATTATCAAATAAATCAGATTGTTTAATTTGAAATTCTTGATTTTTCTGTTGTTCTTGTACTTGAGAAGCTATGTATAATAATTCACTCAATACTAATCTTATTCTTCTAGTAGACTCACTGCGTTCAAATTCCAAAGCAAGACCACTTTGTAATGACTGAGTAAGTACACTATCTCTTTGTAAACTTCCCATCTTTTGTCTAAAAAAAAAATCATATTTTTCTTGTAAATATATTTCATATAATTTATGATATATTTAACAATACTGAACAATAAAAAATGTCAACAATAAAACTAACCTTAATTGTTGTTCTTTTCGAACATCTGTTTCTAATGCATGAAAGTCAATTGAAAGTAATGCAATTATTGAATTTACTGATTCAATTCCAGATAATATTGTCAAGACCTGTTTTCTTTGTTCTACACATTCTTTTGTTACATCTAATGGAGATATAAGACTCATTCGAACTAAACATGGTAAAATTGGTCGTATTCTTTATGAGAACATACAGCTAAAACCGGTATGTCTACATTTTGTATTGCAGTAAAAACCCGTGGTGATACACGGGCACTTTCTTGCATGATTATTATTTATTTGCTATTGATTTAAATTGATTAAATATGAAAATTATACACTATAAAATAAGTTTATGAACTAATGTAATTGTACTTTTATCTATCACGATATATATATTTATGTTAAAACTATTATTTATAAATAAAATTGTATTGCGAATAAAATATTTTATAGTATTTATTAAATTCATAGAATTAATAGTTTAAATTGATCAAAAGTATTACTTCATTCAACTTCAATTAGGTTAAGTAATATAAATCTGTCATCCATTCGTACCGCCACATGTGTATAAAATTAGATGGAAAAATTACTCAGAATTTCTTTGACTAATATATATGATCTTATTTATTTATGAAATTAAACTAAAATTATAATATATAGTAGAACATAATTTAAAAATAATAAAAATATAAAAATATTAAAAATATTGGATTAAATTTTATTATAAATTTTATTATTTTGAAGCACTAAAAATGTTAGACTTTTCAATATCATTTTATAAACATTAACAAATAAATTCCAAAAATGTTAGCCTTATTTAATATGCAATTAATATTTAAATTGAATCAAAAATATAATATTTAAAATATAACATTCTTTAACAAAGAAAAGTAATTTGAATTTATCGCATGCTGGTATTTCTATCCTCCAATTAGGTTGAGTAAAAATCCAACATGATGTTATAACTAACATAACTAACAAAAATTCCAAAAAATTTACAAATTTGTATACAAATAATTTTTGAATTATTTCAATTATAACAATTAAGATTGTTGTTTTTGAATTCTGCACATTGAAATCTATAAAAATACATAAAGAATTTAAAAATTCTTTTTTTAAAAATATGCTTATCATTTTATTAAATCTTATTATATCTTAATTTTAAAATAAAAAACAAATTATCAAATTAAATTCAATTTAAGCAATAATAATAATAATTTGGCACGAAAAATACAAAGAATATTATCACAACTGCCATCTATTAAATATCCTAATAAATGTTGAAGTATGTTATTTTAAAAGACGACGTGATTATAGTGCATATAATATTTTAATTTTGATTTAAATATGGAATATATATATCGTTTACCATTTTTAGCATTAGAAGTACCTAACTTAAAATTAAAGAAGCCATCATGGTTTGTGAAACCTAGTGCTATGATAGTTTTTTCATTTATACTTTTATCATATTTTCTAGTAACTGGAGGTTAGAATTGCATAGAACAACAATTTTTGGAACATTCTTAGCAAACTCTCAGGAAATGAAATATATGTGATATATATTAATTTTTTTGTCTTAATAAATAAATCACAAAATTATAAGAATTATTTTGTGAAAATTTTTTTAAAAAATATTTAAAAATTAAAAAGTTAATTAAAGTTTGCTTTCATGAAAATGTCATTAAAATAATCACTTAGTTTATATTTATTTCAAAATTCAATAGAAAAAATATTTATAATATTTATTTATAAATATTTATTTGATTTATATAGATATTTTATTAATATTTTAACAAATTTTGATAAATTTGTCAAAAAATTACTTCTCATGAATCTAAATGATATATATGTGTATGTATTAAAAAAAATAAAAAAAGAAATCAGTAAATATCATTTATTTTGAAAAAAGTAAAAAAAATTAGTTTCAGATTTTTAAGGCAAGCAAAATAAATCTAATCCAATTTAAATCTAATATTCATAAAAAAAATCGACTATGTTAATATAATTATAATAACATATAATATATCAAAATTTTTTTTTCATATTCTTGTCTATTAATATGTAATATATATATATATATATATTAGTATATATTATATTATTTTGTTATTTTGCTATTAATTATAATACTATAAATATGAATACTATTTTAAAAATATAAAAAAATTTAAAATAAAATTTCCGAAAAAAAACGCTTTCTGAAAAATAATTTTTATAATTTATATCTCTATTTATATCTTTTTTAATCTTTGAATTGATTGAATATATCATATATTGCATTTCATATTCTAAAGTTTTGTTAGGAATATAGCCAATTTTTTTATAAATTTTTTTAATAGAATGAGATAAATATTATTTATATTTTTATAATAAATTTTTTAAAGGTATAATATACGATGTAATTGTGGAACCACCCAGTGTAGGTTCAACAACAGATGAACATGGTCATACAAGGCCTGTAAGTAAATGAATTAAAGATAATTTTATATTAATATTTCTTAAAACTTATATTATTCATTTTTTATAGGTAGCATTCATGCCATATCGAGTAAATGGGCAATATATTATGGAAGGATTGGCATCTAGTTTTCTTTTTACTTTAGGTGGAATTGGTTTTATAGTATTAGACCAAACACATAATCCATCAACACCTAAGCTCAATAGAATTCTTTTAATATGTGTTGGATTTATTAGTGTTATTGTCTCATTTATTACCTGTTGGGTTTTTATGAGAATGAAACTACCGTAAGATTTTTATATATATATTGTACATTGTAATTTGTAAGAAAACATACTTTTATCTAAGTAACATTGGTTAATTTATAGAAGAGTTACTTCTTTATGCTTTTGAATGAAATTTCTTTACATATTTTGTTGCAATATACATATATAATACAAATATATACATAAGAAAAATTAAAAAAAAGAATCAGATTATTTTAAGAAAAATTTTAATCATTTTAAGAAAAATTAAATCATTATCAGAAGTTTATATTTTATATTCTTATTTTTTAATTTAAGTTAAATATTTTTAATTACTTTGTCATATATAAATCATAAATAAATGCATATTAAATCAATTTCAAATATCAAATATTAGGAATTTTGTTTAATCTCAGATATATATAGATCATGTGCAACTAGAAATTTAATCATTCCTTAAAATCATTTTGTTTAGAATTTGTTTTGAAACTATTGTTAACTGATTCATGAGATTAGATTAATTTAGATTTTAATTTGACATATATATCACAATAAAGTAATGAAAAATTATTCTATTCAAATCCACTAAAAACTTGTCAACAAATTTAAATTCTTTTTAATTTTATTCAAAATAATATTTATTCTTATTTTTAAAATGAATCATCTAAGAGTGAAAGTTGAAATATTTTTAAAATTATTAAAAAAGATATATATAAAAGTTGATGATAAAAGTGAATGATTTCAAAAAAGACATAATTTGATATAATTTTATTTAAGAAAATAAATTTAATTTTTATAGTCAATTTCATTTCGTATCACGTGAAAAAATAAATTTGATTTCAACTTTGATTTTAACTTTTTTTGTTACATATATAATTAACGCTTTCGTAAATATTTTGCCAAATTAAAATAAAATATTTTATATATAATTTTATATATAATTTTTGTTTCAGGGGATATCTGCAATCATAAATTTAATAAATTTAAAATAATATGGCTTAAAGCTCAATATTTTGTACTCATCAAAGTTGCATTTTGTATTAAATATGTGTATTAGAAATATGATTTATAAATAATATTATAAAAAAATTCTATCAAATATATTTAAAAAAAAATAATTTTTATTTTTATTAATTTTTTTCCTAATTTCTTTAAAAATTTTCTAGTTTTATCATTATTTAGTTTAACTTGTTATTGAAAAATATTGGTTATATTAAAAATATAAATTATTAACAATGAGCAAATTATTATAAAAAAAAAATATTCAGATATTAATAACTTTAATTTTTGTAATTAATTCACATTTATAAATGTACATAAGTTAATAAAAATATATAAAGAATAATGTATTATTCTATTATTGAAAAATAAAATACTTTTGATTTAGTATAAAATATTATTTGAATATTGAAAAAAATGTAAAAATAAATAAATTTTCATGCTATAAAAATATTCAGACATTTCAAATTTAATTTAAGGAATTAAAATATCTTATCTGCTATATTATATACTGATTTCTTGAAATTAATTTACAAAGAATATTTAATATACTTAATTAATAAATGTTTTAAATTATAATTTTTATTTTGATATCAATATCTATTCAAAATACTTTCTTGCATGAAAAAGTCGAATTCGTATGCGAATTTAACTCTACATAAAATAAATTTTACGATATAATTATACGATATATCAAAATTGAAATTTGAGAAATATGAAATATTAAAAATTATAGAGCTGAATTATAATTTAAAATTGAAACAATAGTAAATATTAAATGAAATATTAAATGAAAATAAGAATTAAAATCAAAAAATTATAATCTTGAAATTATAAAATGCAAGTATAAGAAAATCCTAACCTAAACTACAAAATGAATATTAAATAAATATTAATATTCATGATTATTAAAATATTTGTTATTCACAATATTTTCCATATCATATTTATATAAACATATAATAAAAATAGTTAAAAATTACTAATTAAATATTGAATAAAATATTATAATTATATTATTAATATTATAATTATGATTATTAATAATATATGAAAATATAAGTGATTATTTATAGATATTTTATTTTAATTAATAAAATATATATTATAATGAATAATTAGAAACATGAAAGTAAGGTTTATTTTTGTAATATTTTGTACCAGTATTTTATTTATTTTATTTTTAACTATATTAAAAACAGATCTTGGAAATAATACAAAATATTTATATAATGCAAATAACACAAATGAAAATATTTCTTCAATCATAAAGTTTATTATTGAACCAAAATGTGATATTAACTTTATAGTTTGGATTGTCACATCCTCTGCAAATGATGTTGCATATAGAACAGCATTACGATATGCATATCCAAGTGAAATGTTAAAAAGTTTGAATGTCACAAGAGTTTTTTTATTAGGAAGACCTAAAGAAGAAAATATGTGGAAATATATATTAAAAGAATCACAAAAGTTTAATGATTTGTTACAAGGAGATTTTTTGGAAAATTATAAAAACCTTACATTAAAACATTTGATGGGTTTAAAATGGGCATCAAGTAACTGTAAAGCTAATTTTCTAATAAAAACCGATAATGATATTGTATTAGATATTTTTGAGATATTAAAACTTTTACAAGAAAAAACAATAGAAGAAAATACTATGTCTGGATATATTTTAAGAAATATGAAACCAATTCGAATATCAAGTAATAAATGGTTTGCTACAAGAGAAGATTTTCCAGGTGAAATTTATCCAGATTTTCTTTCAGGATGGTTTTATATAACCAATTTAAAAGTTGCACAATTATTAGTTAATACAAGTGAAAAATTTAAAAATTTTTTTTGGATAGATGATGTATTTGTTAGTGGAATTTTAAGACAAAAATGTGATATTAAACTTAAAGAATTAAATAGATTTTATGCAACAGATTATAGGTAATTATATGTAATTACTAAAAAATAATTATTTATTTTATAAATTTTATCCTTTTAGAATATTTAGACTGTACTGAATAAAATAAAAAATTTTTCTTATATAAATAATAAAATTCTTTATTTATTCAAATTAAAATTTCAATATCAAATTTTTTTATTTACTATTTTAATTAATTTTATTAATTTCTAAATATTTTTTTCCTATTTCTTTAAAAAAATTATAAAAAATTTTCTAATATTTATTAAAATTATTAATTTTTTATATTTCATATTATATATTTTATATTTTAAAATAAAAATTAAAAATTATAAAAATTAAAAAAATATAGATATAAATATAAAACTTATATTTTCTAGTAATAAATTATTATGAAAAAATGATTTGGTCATTATTGATTATTTATTTCATATTAATACACACATTAATTATTTACATTAATTTATATTTGAAATATTTTTAAAAACTTTAATTATTTCATTATTATTAAATAATTATTAAAATTGATTAAAATTTTCATTAATTATATGCAATAAAATTTATAAATACAAAAGTTTAAATGGATCATATTTTTAATTTCATAATCTTTCTTATTAAGTTTTTTTATTACAGTAAATTATTGTAAATAATAAGTTTTCATAATTTCATTTTTCTTTTATTTTTAACTTAAAAAAATAATTAATTTTTAGGTATTTGGAATGTTGTATACGAGATAAAAAAAAAAAACTCAAATGTGAGTTTATTGCAGGACCTGATGGAGGTAAAAAAGAATTACATATCAAGTTTAGAAAATTTTCTGAATATTGTCAATGGAATTGCTATAAAAGAAGAAAAGAACAATTAGTATCAAAAACTTGTGTAGTTGCTTATGAAGAAAAAATGCATATTGTGAATTCTAAAGCTTATATTTATTATGTATAAAATTTATAAAGTTAAGTAAGTTATATTTGTTAAATTAATAATTAATAAACATAACATATTTTTAAATTATTAATAATGATAATAATGAAATTTGATGTTTTTATCAATTAATTTTTTAAATTAAAAAATAATTATTAAGTACTAAATATAAACATGTTAAATTATATAATTTAATCTTTATTTCATTTCAAATTTATTATAATAATAATGATAAATTTATAATTTTTATTTGTAAAAATATTTTATTATTATATATAATTTTATTTTTGTTATATTATATTAATATAATATTATGTTACTATTTTTTAAATATAATTATTTAAATATATTTAATATAGATATACAATTACAAATTACAATATATATAATATACATAATTATAATATATATAAATGTTTACATTTAAAAATAAACATTTATTATTATATATTTATTATTATATTATATATATATATATATACATTTATATATTATATATATATTATATAAGTTTCTCAATTCTTATTCTTGATTCAACATAAATTAAATTAAATTAAATGAGAATTGACATATAATTAATAAACACATTAAAAAATTGCTTAAATATAAATAATATTTAGGATTAATCAGAATTATCAGCTATTAGAAATAGGAAAAATGTATAATAATATGAAGAAATAAGAAATAAATTAAATTTAATAAAATATAAAAACTGACGCACATAACGATTTTGAATTATTATAAATATAATATATTTTTATATATTATTCTGATTTTTTAATTCTTTTTTTAATGATAAAAACAAAGCTTCTAAAAAAAAGTCAGAATCAAATAATTAAAATTAAAATAGAAAAATTGAAAAAAAAATTAAAAAATCCCTAAAGTGTAGTATAATTTTTTTTAACTATTAAATTTAAATATATTTAAATAACAGAATTTAATTGATTTCAATAAGAATTCAACAATTTTTATAATAAATTTAGAATTAATTGAAAATACATTTTCATATTTCAAGATACAATTGTAATAAAAAATAAAAAATAATCTAATAAAAAATTCTTAATATGATGAACAGGTTATATTGGAATTATCTCCAATTTAAGTCAGAAATGCCAAATTACAACTAACTTTGCGATATATGATATGAAGCAAATACACAACACCAAATTCATACAATATTATAACAATAACAAACTAATGCGCATACGTAAATTAGTTGCGCGAATGGCGATAACTTGAGTTTATATATAATCTTTATTTAAATAAACTAATATTAAATATAATTAAAAAAATATATATTAAAAATAAATATGATGGAGGCTGAAACTGTTGGTAATCTCGTCCAAAAAATGATTATTTCGCTTTGTGGAGAACAAAAACCAGGTAAAATTTAATTTTTCTATATATTCTTTAATATTAAAAAAGCATTTTGTTAAATAATAATTGTAAATGAAATATTTATAATTTTTATTTGTAAATTATATTTTATTAAAAAAATTAGAAATATTTCATAATGAATTGTTTATAAATAATTCACATTTAGAAATTAAAATTTTATGTATTTTGTATATATTATATATCAATTAAATTATCAATATATTATAATTATAATTAAGATTATTAATTATATTTTTAATTTGAAAAAAGTTATATTTTTTATATTAAATTATGATTTCAGAAATAATAAGAAAATGGATGCGTTTCTCTCTTGGATTATTATCATCAACTCAAGGAATAGAAACATTACAAGAGGATGAAATTAGTATAGGAAATCAAATAAGAGAAAAATTGTCAATATGTGATGCAACACAGTTTGACAAATTATATAATGAATTAAAATCTGGGGTATGATATAGATTTAATTTTTAAATTTATAAAATCTATATTTCATAAAATGAATATATTAATTAATGATATCAATTAATGATCTTAAATATACATTAATTATTTAGGGAATAAATATTTAACATATTTTTATATTAGGATTATAAATATTTTTATTAAAGTTCATTGAAAAAATATTATTCAATTAAATTTTGTTTTAAGGTATCAAAAAAATTTTGTTAAAAAAATTTTTAGCTAATTTCTTAATAATTTTCAATAAATAAAATCCTAAAATATCAAATTTAAATTTAAAAAATATTCATAGTTTGAAAATTATATTTTATATTTGTAGTGTACAATATATATATATATATATATATAAAATTTATCTTGATGCCACATTGGTATATACATAATAAAATTACAATTGATTATAACTGCATATTTTTTGATAACAAAGCTTTTTAACATTATTTGATAGATAGATAAAATAAAATTGAAACAAAATTAAATTGAAGTTTTACTATTTTAAAATGTTTTCAACATATTCTATAATAGTTTTCTAAATTTAAAATTGAAATATCAATTTTCAGTTTTCAAAATTTTATTAAATTCTACTCTTCAAATATTTTTAATATATAAAAATTTGTCAAAAATTTTATTTTAAATGTTTTAAGACAAAATTTTACCATTATATTTAATAATTTTTATTAAAATTATTATTATTTATATATGCTCATCTGTTCCTTAGCCATTAAAGAACAGGACACAAATTCTGATATTCTTGTTAAACATGTGTAATTCAGCAGAACAATTAAGGGGTAGAGTCTTTTCAGCACCTGAATTAAAATTAGGTTTATCTTCATCATCTGCATCCACTAGTGGTAAGCAATATATTTTATAATTTAATTTTTTTGAATTTTTTTATAATATATAAATTATAATATAAGTTTTAATATTTAATATTTAATATATTTTCTCATTTAGGACAATCATCTGAAATTTCTGCATCACCACAAATTGTGTCCATAAATAGTGCAAACAAGAATACAAGAGACTATTTAACAAGTTCTAATAAAATATATGGAGAAGAATATATTTCAGAAGATGTATTGATTCAAGACCTTATATATTCTTTCTTAGGTATAGAAGGAAAAATATTAAAATTAGATTCTAATTATGGCTTCCAAATAGATCCAATTATTAGCATTGATAGACCACGAAAGCAAGCAACATTGAGATTAAGTGAACTTGGATATTTACATAATATAATACAAAAAGGTTTAGAAAGAATGTCAGTTGCTTCAAGTGGTCAAGTAGCTGATAGTTTTGTTGCAGCATTACATTCTGAATTGTCTGAATACTATAGGGTTATTGCCCTCATTCAAGAAGAAGTAAACAGGTATTAATATAAATATAAATATAATATTTTACAAATTTGTTATAAATGGTAATATATCTGAATATATAATAGAGCTCAGTCTGAATCAGGATTATACAGAGTTACATTATCCCATTTACATCTTTGGGTATATGATCCTTTAGAATTTTAAAATGGCTAGCAAGTATAGTAAAAGCTTGCCAAGGACAAAAAGGTGGTGCATTAGCTTCTGCAGTGTATGAATTTAGTAATCATGGTGATACTAATGTGAAAAAATTAGTTAAAAGGATTTTACAAAGTGTTTGCAATCCATTGTATAATATGTTGATAAGATGGATGGCAGATGGTGAATTAGATGATCCATATAGAGAATTTTTCATTGAAGCTTGTGCTGATATTACTGGAGATAGAATGTGGCATGAGAAATATCAAGTTCGCAACAATATGTTACCATCTTTTATTACAAAAATACAAGCTAAAAAAATTTTAGGAACGGGAAAAAGTATTAATTTTCTGCGTGAAGTATGTAAAGATTTTACTCCATGGCAAGGAAAACATACAAAAATGTTTGAAAATTTTAGTGAAGAATATAAAGGTAATTTAATTTAATAATTAAGTAATTAAATAATTCCTTATAGATATAAATATAGATAAAGCTATAGATCACAAGATTATTTTATCTTATAAACAAAATCGAACAAAATATATATTTATATGTAAATATTATATTATATTATAACATAAATAAATCTATAATTTATAAATTTAAATATATTTTTTAATTTACAGCTATTGTGATTATTTTTAGCAATTAATTTTTTCTAAAAAATTAAATTCTCTATAAACTTAAATATGTTTTAGTTGATGTTCTTTTTGACATGGATCCTGATGGTCGATTACAAACTATGATGGATACAGCTTATAAAGAAACTTCAACCAGAGTAGTGGAAATTTTAACAAAACAGTATCATCTTATGGAACATTTACATGCAATTAAAGGTTATCTATTATTAGGAGAAGGAAATTTCATTCAATATCTTATGCATTTATTAGAGTAAATACATATTATTTTTCATTATAAATTTTTATATTTCTATGTGGAATATAATTATATAATACTTTTAAAGGATTAATTTTAAATATCAAAATAAATTCGAAAATAAATTTAAAAATTTCGATTATAATTTTTTTTTTTTAAATTATAAGTATTTTAATTTTGCATTAAAAATTTTTGTATTTAAGCAAATTATTGATTATTAGCAGACTTAATGAGTTGAATGACAAAAAAGATTTATAGATTAGACAATTTGCAAAAACTTTTTTCAACAAAAAGTTATGGTGCAATATATTATTTTACATATATAATTATAATGTATCAAAACATAAATGCTTAAAATTTCATAAAATTTTAAATATATTTTATTATACAATTTAACAAAAGCTTATTTCAAATAAGCTGTAATAAATTCTATGTAACTCCATATATAATAAATAGTAAATTATATATTATAAAATCCATATAATTCACCAATAATTTTTCTTGTTGATATAGTTAGTTATATATATTTCAATAATATATATATTTGATAATAAATAATAATTTAAATAATTAAATATTAATTTTAGCAATTAATTTTTTTTATTTTATTCACATTTAATGTTAATTATTTCAGTTTTCGATAAACATAAAAATTGCATTAATCGAAATTTAATTTTCATAATATATTCTTGATCACATTGATACACATATATTTTATTGAAAAAAACATACTCATTGTGATTATTATATAATATATAATATAATCATACATTATATAGAAATATAATACAAATATATTATATAAATATATAATAAAAATAACAACGAATACGAAAAAAAATTTTATATAAATAATAAGCTGATATTTTTGTACAAAATTTTTATATTTATTTTGATATTTAAAATTGATGTTTCAAAGATTTTGTGTATTTTTTAATATCTTATATAGGGATTAAAATACTAATCTATTATTCAGATTATTTCTGTTTTTCTATTTTGTTTTTTTATATTTGTTTATTGTAGACCAGAATTAGATAAACCAGCAAGTTCTGTATATCCACACAACATATCTTCAATTTTGGAAACAGGAATAAGAGCAACTGTTACAAAGATAGATGATTCAGATACACATAAACGTCTTGATGTAAGATTATTAGCACCTTCAGAAAATGAAAGAGGATGGGATGTTTTTATTCTCGATTACAATGTGGGAGGTCCTATTGGAACAGTATGTATGAAAACATGATGTACAACAGTATGTATGAGATATAAAATTTTCATTTGTCACTAACATTAAAATTTCTATCAAAGAAATACTCTAAATATATTAGAAATTTGTAAATTTAAAAAATATTCTTTTATCATTTTTAAAAATTAAAAATTTTTTAATATTTTTTGTAATAATATATAAAATAATATATATTCAAATAATTTTATTTATTTAGATTCTAGAGCCTTGTAGACAAATCTATCAAACTGTATTTTTTGCTTTATGGAGAGCGAAACGAATGGAATCTATATTATCTGCGATTTGGAAACGTCAAATAACTTCAGCAAAAATGTTTCGTAAAATGCCCGAAGTATTACCTATTCAAACTCATATTCATTTAATTACAAGTAGTATGGTACATTTGGTTCATCAAATGCAATATTTTTTCCTATTTGAGGTAAGATAGAAAATTTTGATGAAGTGTTAACAGTATATTATTATAAAATATTATATTTTTAAAAGAAAGTATTTTAATTAATTAATTAATTTTAATTAATTAACGAATTTTAAGGTAATTGAATGTTCTTGGGATGCTTTTGCAAAACAATTGGCACAAGCAACATCTTTGGATGATATAATTACAGCACATACTCATTTTATAGATACCGTAAGACGTGGTACCTTGCTAGATGAGAAATCACAAGTAAGTATATATGTATTAATATAGGATATCAGAATAAAAAATTATTATATAGTATATAATATTATTTTCAATAGGAACTTATGGATCATTTACGTTCTGTATATGGTCCAATTTTAGACTTGCAGAACCTAGAAGAAACATTTCTTGCGCGTGCGACACATGAATATGAAGCACGATTAAAAGATAATAAATTATTAAATACAACTGTTGTAATGTCAAGTCATTTAGATCAAACTATGGATGCAGAAATCGCCAAACGTCAAGCCACATTTTCGAAATATTTAAATACACTTTCAATTCAACTCAGATTGCTTTCAAGAACATATCAGGTAACATCACTTAAATTATTAATTTTAAATATTATTATTAAAGTATTATTATTAAGTTTTATTATTTTTTTCTTACAAAACTAAATTAACTAAAATGATCCTTGAATTAATTTTTAATAATTTTTATATAATAATTAACATAAAAATTAACAATATATTAAATTAAATAAACAAATGTTGATATTTTTAATTTTTATCTAATTTAATTTTTATATAATTTTTAAATTAATTTTTTTAAAAAAACTATATTTTTATGTTTTAACGAATTAATTATAATATAAAATAATCGAATTTCAAAATATTCGATTTTCAAGAATTTCGATTAATATTGAAATATAAAATGACTCGTGTTTGATTATTTAATTTCTTAATTATCCGATCAATAAAAATATTTAAATTTAAAGATATATTAAAGATAAATTAAAAGATATAATAATTTTTTATTTTTTTATAAAAATATAATTTATTAAATAATTTTTTATATAAATATTTTTTATATAAAAATATTTTTTTACAGGATAGAGTAAAAAAGTTTCTTATAATGCTTGCTTCGGCGGAAGATGTGTCTTTACAATTATTAAGCGTACGATTAGATTTTAATGAATATTATAAAAGTAAAGATAATCGTCTTGTTGTGCCATTAACTTATTTGCATCGAAGACAAAGTGATCAAAGTTATCTTAGTTGTAAATGATAAATATAAGAATCATTTTTTTTATTATTAATTAGATATAAATATGATTTTTTGAACATGTTATTTTTTTTAATAAAAATTTTTCAAAGAAATATGTGTCTATAGTAATTTCTCTATGTATATATTACTTTATCTATAATTCTTTAATTTTTGTAATTTATACGACTTGAGATATAAAGTATTTTCTCTATTGATTCTCGTTAATTGTCCGATCTGTCAATCATTTTTGCCATTTTCAATATTTTTCCATAAATTCAAAAACACAAAGCTCTAATAGCTAGAAGCCGATCAATCGAACGCATTTATTTTATACAAAAATGATGTACTTTAAAAGAGAAAAAGAAAATATGCAATCAATAAGAATCTTTTATTTTACGATAAGAATGAAACATTACGAACTCAATATTTTCAATTAAATTTATTTTATATTGTTATTATATTGTTATTTAATATTTTTAATTGCATGTTTCAACAAAATGATTTTTCGATTTTTATTAAATATATTTATATCATTATATTTATATGTTAACTTTTTCTATATTAACATATTCTATGTTAACTTTTTTACAGGGTTCAAACAATATTTATAATTACTATTATTGCAATTCGCTTTTTCTATTAAGAATATCCTAATGAATACTATATTAAAATATTATATCTGATTTACTAAAATTTGTGATTCAGTTTTTTTATTATACTTTTTTATATTTTAAATATGCAAATGTGAGTTTCGAATATTTCAGAATTATGCAATTATTTTTCCTTAAAATTCAAAGATAAAAAAAAATAAAACAGAATTTATTCTGAAATCAAATATGGAACAAAATGTTTAAAGCATATGGAAAAATGTATTATTTTGTTGATAAATAATTTTTTTACATAAATATATAACACATAATAATAATAATATGTAATATTATGTTATTCATATGTCATAATTATATAACAAATAATAAACTTACTAAAAGAAATATTATACTAATATTATACTAATAGAAATATATAATATATGTGTATAATGATTTACATTTTTAATTCAATTTCTATGTAAATAAATTCATAATACTCCAATTAAGAGAGAAATGAAAGAATATTTTTTTTTAAAAAAAGAAAGAAGATACATAGGAAATACAAAATATATTAAAAAATTTTTTTTCTCGTAACAACGTTTTTACTTTTACAATAACTAATGAATATATAATTAAGAAATGTCATCAATTTTTGAAAGAAACACTGGCTTTATTTTTATGAATCAGCTCAATGTTCTGATGTTCTAATGACGACTAAAACTTCTAAATTTAATCACATTCAACTCTTTTCATATATTTAATAATACGATTCCTTTATCAAAAGTAAATTCTATTTAATTGTATTAATTAAATGTAATTTTATTTCTTAAAAGAATAAATAAAAGAATAAATAATGAAGTTATAAAATTATAATGATATAGCAAAATCTATAGAGAAATGCCAAAAAATCGTAATATATATAGAATTGTGTAAAATACGAACAAGATTTATTCGAGAAATCTGAAAATATTTTCATTGGAAAATAATTGTCTTAGCAAAGTATTTTCGGTATAGTCCTATTTCTAGCAAAATGTACGTTTTAAATGCGAATTTTAAAAAATATTTATTTAATAGTATTATTATTTAATGGTATATATTATTACACAGTTTATAAGTATATTATATATAAGTTATTCATTTATCAAGAAGATGCGTAAAGTACTGAAGAAACTATTTATTTCAAAGTGTCAATTATTGATTTCCCAATATTAGCCGATCAAAATTATTAAGTAGGTATGAAAGATTGGTATTAGAAAATGTTTTGATATTAAAATATTTACGGAAGATGAATTAGAAAATAGTATTTTAGAAATGATAACTAATAAAGTGTAATATTACTAATTAACTTTCATATTATAAAAATGTTAATATTTTCATAAGATTTTTGAATTATTATATTAAGTTGATTCAAGAAGTTAAAATAAACACAAGCCATTTTTGTTAAGATTTATTTATTAAATAAGTAATTTAAATTTATATTAGATGAAACAAGAATCTTTTTATCTTTGATACAATATATTACGAATTTAACACATAATTGTTTTGATTTGATTAATTACCTGACTGAGTTCGAATTAAATCGAATTATGAATATATTGATTTTTACATTTAAATTCGATGCATAATCGATTACATTTTAACTCGATCAGCTCAATTCAATAAAAACTAAAATTATTCTGTTTCATCTTTTACAAAGAAAGAATAACTTATATTCAATTGGGTATGAAAGATGTACTACTTCATAAGACTAAAAAATCTAAAAAAAAAATCTCGTTTGGTGGATAGAATATGCAGACGGACAAAAGATGCTTTGCATTATCACTTTAATTTGGATATCTTGGTACCAATATTATGACATAAATATTATATTAGTTTAATAATAATATCAATTTTAATTGTTTTATTTATATTTTATATAATAGCAAAGTTTCTCATATATATTTTTAAGAGGATGAATATTTTTATATGTCAAAAACTAAAGATAAGTTAATCAAATATGAAATATAAACAAAAAAAAAAAATGTTGAATATCTGAATTATAAGTAAATTAATTTTATTTATGCAAATAGAGTTAAATACACATAATAACCAATAGATAGATTATATTAGATATTAGATATATTAGATTATATTCAGATTTTTTACTTTTCTTGTTATGAATAATAGATAAGATTCATAAATTGAATTATTCATGAATTAAATTAAAAATAAATTATTTTTAATTTATTTTTGTTTGTATTTTTTTTATGACCCAATTTAATAATAACAATTTATCATTGTTATTTTATTGATAGTTTAAAAGTCTTAAAATTTTCAATCAATAAGTTAAACAAAGAAATTAATAAAATCATATTAATTACATATCATACACATATACTTCGGAATGAATAAAGTTTGCGGAACATGTATAGACAAAGAGAGCATATAGTGAGAGAAAGACAGAAATAGAGTAAAAATATTGAAATCAGCGCCATCTTCAGAGTGCCGCAAATGAAACTCAAAAAATAAGGATAGAGAATAATGGAAGAAGGACAGAGATAGAATTAGAATTAACTACTAGTGCCATCTTTCGAATACCAAAAGTACTTTTTCAAAGATGATAAAATAGAGTGAGAAGAATTAAAAAGCAACGCCATCTCTTGAATTTTTTTTGAAAAGGTACCTTTGATAATTAAGAGATGGCGCTAATGATCAATTCTTATTGTATTTCTGTCCTTTTTCTACTATATTTTATCCTTATTTTCTGAGTTTCATTTGCGGCACTCTGAAGATGGCGCTGATTTCAATATTTTTAGCCTATTTCTATCCTTTTCTCACTATTTCTGTTCTTTTTCTACTTAATCTCTTTATTTATATTTGTTCTTGATATGTAATAAATTAGATATGGGATGTTAATTGAAAACGATTTTCATTTTTTTTAACAAAAAATTACAATTTCTAACTGTAGAACGATGACTGTATGAATTGTGTGCCATCAATAGTTTGTAAAACTAAAAGAAGACATATATTAGCAACATATTGAATGCTATGTTTAAACAATGGAATTTTTTATAAAAGATTGAAATCATAAAAGATTTTTACACGTATGATTATAATTAATCAATATTATTGATATTTACTTTGAATCCTTTAATATTTTTAATTTAAATATTTTATTTGTAAAATATAATATATTCCAAATTTTATATAAAATCTTGTATGAGTATATGCGAAAAATTGCTAACAATTATTTCTAAAATTATATTTACTGGAATATAATGTTTATTTCACATTTTTCATTATTAAATATATTTTAATAAGAGTAAGAGGATTTGGAAAAAAGAAAAGGAAAAGTAAAATACACAAATTAATTAAATAAGATATCTGCATTTTACAAAGCAATAAGTTACATGTGTAAGAAACCAAATAACTGAGTCGCAGCTCGCGTTTTATAATACAAACTGTATAGCCAAGATTGTTGGCTACGTATAGCGAAATGTTAAAAAAGCGTGAAATGCTTTCCATTTCTGAGGAAGTAAGGCTTGATATTTTATTCTTCATGGTATGTTGCATGTTCGAACTTTGGACTGTTGGAAAGGTAACCATTTTATAATTGTATAAATGGACGTGTTTTCACATATCGAAGTCACTGCATCGAGAAGTCTTTTCTTTTGGAAGACTGGAACAACAATATAGTCCATCAATAAAAACTACTGTCGGATTATATAGCACCAAAAACGCGCAATAAAAAGCGGAATATAAATAGCCACGACATCAACACGTTTCTTGGGATTTGAAATTAGCACCACCTATAAACTTATTATCTTTTCGATTATATTGATAAAAAAGTCACGAGTATGTAACTATGATCGTACAAATTGATAAATTCACTCATTATTTTTCAGTTTTTGTTTATGAGTTTACTCTATTATGATAGACCTTTATATATAGAGTTAATAATTTGATTTTTAGCTTTCAAATTTGATTCGCCGTCGTTAAATTTGAATGCAACCGACAGTGGTGATGATGTTGATAGAAACAAACTAAATCTAGCAATTTTGACTAATGTGTCTTCTATCTTTCTTCTTTTGATATCGCCTTTGCTGTTTATTTTTATTATTTTGTTGTTCTCTTTCAGCCTTATAAATCAACAAGTATCCATCGATGATTCGACGAATGACAATTCATCAGCAATATTTTCAGCTATACGTTGAACAGTCGATTCCTTATCTTTTTTTTCGTCGGATTCAAGATCCGACAACTGTTCGCATCAATCACTAGAACAAAAAATAACAATAGTTATAAATAGATAGTTACGTACAAATATTAAAGCATTTTTTCATAATACAATAAAAATATATAATATCATTAAATTGTTAAATGATAATAGTGATATAATTTTACTTTATTACTTTACTATTTACTAAAACTTTTGTTAATTAAAAAAATGATTAATTTTTATTGATTGAATTGATTGAATTGTATGTATTTTAATATTTGTATTTTAAAATTTTTTAAATTTTACTCATTTAATTCCTTACAAA